GTATGATGCTGTTTGATTGCTGAAGTTCGCTATTGCTCATCTTCCTTGCAGCAGTGCTTCCTTTTAATTTTTAGGGTATTCGTACATTGCAGTCCTTCCCTTTCAGTTTTTTTTTTTTTGTTTTTTTGTTTTTTTTGAAGAACTGCCCGAGATGTGCTAGGGGTGCTGGTAGGAGCAGGCACCGCTAGCATACTGAGGGAGGCTCCATCTATTGGTGGGGAGCAGCACCTGCTGGAAACCGGGTCCAACGTCCCTGAACATTTTGGGTTTCCTGAATTGTTGCTTTGACAGGAATGGCGGTAAGCTGACGTTAATCAGACAATAAGCTGCTGAGCGTTTGTAGTAAGATCAGAGATCGACCAAGATGATCAGTCCATAGCTGCTACCTTGTTTGTCTACTTGACTTTGCCTATGTTTGAGCCTTAAACCTATCATCTCTCAGCACATGCAGAAAAGCACATCCCACTGACTTGATTGCCCACCTGACAGAACTTATGAATGAACTTCCGATCTACCTATTGAACTTGTTTGCCTACATGACATTGCCTATGATTGAGCCTTAAATGAAGCTACTCTCAGTACATGCAGGCAAGCACACCCAGCTACCTAGGATGCCCACATGACAGAACTTATGATAGCCTTCCAAACTACCACTTCTCAGCGCATGCAGGCAAGCACACCCCCCATTCCCCTACCTCCACCTTCCCTTTCAGTTCTGAGGGTATTCCTACATTGCAGTGCTTTCTTTTCACAGAGCTGCGTCCGAGCAGAGGGCCGGGGTTGTTCAAATACAAGTTCACACCTGCCAAGTCGGGTGGACATGTAACTGTTCATAAACAGGGGAGTGGACTCCGAGGTGTAACTGTTGGTAAACAGGGGGGTCGACATGTAACTGTTGGTAATCAGGGGGCTGGAATTGTTGGTAAACAGGGGGGTTGGAATTTTTGGTAAAGACTGTGGTGGACATGTAACTGTTGGTAAACAGGGGGTGGACATGTAACTGTTGGTAAACAGGGGGAAGGACATGTACCTGTTGGCAAACAGGGGGTGGACATGTAACTGTTGGTAAATAGGGGGGTGGACATGTCACTGTTGGTAAACAGGGGGTGGACATGTAACTGTTGGCAAACAGGGGGTTGTCCACATACAAGTTCAGACATGCCCCACCAGGGAAGATATGTAATTGGTGGTAAACAGGTCGCTAGTTGCAGGCTACCCCTCTTTCTTTTTTATAATAAGAGCCCAAAAAATTAGATGTACACAGGGAAAACGGCCTCCACAGCATCAAGTATTGGGCTTCTCTCTCTCAGGGAGGAGGGGGGGGTGCAGTGTCCTACAGCCCAGTCGAAATACCATCACCAACTTAACCCACAGTGTACCCCACATAGTACCATCCGATCCACATAGCATGACCTGCCCCACATAATACCTCAAAGCCAGACGGCCCAGCCCAGCTGGTCGCACCCAACCAACAGCATCACCCACACAACATAACACAACCCAGTCTACAAAGTACTAACTGGTGGTCCACCGTGCGCTCTTCTTTTCAGTTCATTGTGATGACAGGGAGTGAGAGAGAGGGGCACCAGGCACTGCATGTGCATGCATCGACGAGAGAGAGAGAGAGAGAGAGA